CTGAATGCTTAGATGTTGGGTGGCCCAGTGGCTGAAGCCCCCTCCATGCTTTAACTGCCATCTCTTGTGCCGTCTAGAAATGTGAGCGCGTCCTTCTGGCCCTGTTCTGTCATGAACCCTGCCGCCCCTTGCACCAGCTGGCTACTGATTCTACATTCTCCATGGTGAGTTCCAGAACATAGGAGAGGTTGGGGATGTCAAGAAGTGGTGGTGTATCCCCTCATGCCAATGTCGTGTCTCCCTGCAGGAGCAGCCTGGTGGTACCCTAGACCTGACCCTGATACGTGCTCGCCTTCAAGAGAAGCTGTCACCCCCTTATAGTTCTCCCCAGGAGTTTGCCCAAGATGTGGGCCGCATGTTCAAGCAGTTCAACAAGCTGACTGAGGTGAGCCTGCAGAATGAACGGGAGGGTGGGGATGGGGGAGGAAAAAAAGCCAGGACCTACTCACCGGTGTACTCTTAACTTGGTCCAGGACAAGGCGGATGTGCAGTCCATCATCGGCCTGCAGCGCTTCTTTGAGACGCGCATGAATGATGCCTTTGGTGACACCAAGTTTTCTGCTGTGCTGGTAGAACCACCACCGCTGAACCTTCCCAGTGCTAGCCTAAGTTCTCAGGAGCTGTCCGGTGGCCCTGGTGATGGTCCCTGAAGCTGGAGCTCTTGTGGTCAGCCCGGTCAAGCTCTGGTCTCTGTCCTTTTACCCCATACCCTCTCCTCCTTTGGTGGCCTGACTCCTGCTCTTGGTGGCCCTGTCCTCCAGTCCCTCTTCACAAAATGGTTTTTACTTCTGTGGATTTAATAAAAACTTCACCGAGTCGCTTATGCCTCAAGCTGTTTTGGGGACTCTCCTGCCTGCATTCCACCATATCAAACTTAACTTCCCCAACTTCCCTAGGGGACCTTCTCTGACAGAGTAAAGTACTGGTACACTATCTCGAATGAGTCTTGGGTTGAGGTCTCAGGCTACCATGTGCCTCCCAGTGACCAGATAGGAAATCTGGACCTGAAGCTACTCAGCTACCAGTTTGTACTATTTATTATAAGTGGGTTGTGTGCCAAGATTCCATTTTTCTTTTTGCCCCCGACCCACAGGGTTTGGCTTTCCTGGAACTCTAAAGCCAGGCTGGCCTTTAACTCAAGACCTGCCAGCCTCTTGAGTGTTTGCATTATTCACACCTGACAGGAATTTGTTGCTTCTTGCTTAGGATCCTGACCCCAATTTGGCTGACAGTCACTATATCTATTGGCATGTTTGGGTCAAACCTTGTTGGGTCAGTAGATGGAGATTTGCATTACCAGGATGCTACCCACCCACTTACATGGTTGGGCTTTGTAGTCTGTACTGCATGCAGCTCTGTAGACTAGGCTGGTCTTTGGAGATCTGCATGCCTCTGCCTCCGCCTCCTGAGTGCTGGGATTAAAGGTGTGAGCTGCCACTGCCCATCTCTTACATGTTTTATTATATGGGGAAATTCACAGCCTTGGGAAATTATGTCCAAATTTCTTTTATTTCAGAGGGGCACAGGGTAAAGACCCTGAGCGTAGAGTCCATCATTTGGAGAATTTTTCAGTCCCTGCGAAGGTTCTTGAGCCTCTCTTCCAGGTCTGCATCAGCATCAGCCAGGGCTGAGGCTGTGGCCTCTGCTTTCTTCCCACCAGCAGCCACACTGAGTGAGCCACCAGTGGAGGGGAGGTCTGCAGAGAGAATGAGGGTCAAGGGCTGTGGCTGAGCTTTAGGTGGGGAAAAGAAGGGTTTGGAACACTTACTTGATAGCTCATCTGTGAGGCTCAGTCCTAGCTCATCCAGGACCTGGGACACAACAGCATCACTAGGAAAGAAGGGTAACTCATGAGGGCTATGAATGGTAAGAGACCTGGAAAACATCCCTGCCTTCCGGTTACTTTCCATACCTCTCCTCTTCATCTTCCTCATCACCCATGGCATCATCGATGGCATCATTCATCATCTCTTCCTTCATGTCCATGATCTCTGCCTGCCGTTCAAACTCCATCATGATCTTCTGAATCTGGGGTAATTTCAGCTGGAAGAATGGGGAGGGTAAGCTGCCTGCAGGTCAATAGGGATGAGAAAGTAGATTGAGAGGGACAAACCTGTCTGTTCATGGTGCCCATGGCCTTAGTAACACCCTTCATGGCTTGTGCCATTGAGTTGTTGGATTTTAGAGTCTGTATCTTGAGGGACACAGCCTGGATGTTGGCCCGCATCAACACAAACTTGCGTACATATCGCCGGGTTCGCACTAGGTCTTTTGCCATGATTCGAACAGCATCCTTCAGAGTGGATAAGAGAAAAGATTATGAAGCTGTGAGGTTACGCTTTAAGAAGACTAATGGAAATTAACCTGAGTGATCACTTCTTCAAAAATCTCACCTTCCTCTCAGGGATATCACTCCAGCCACGTATATAGTAGCTCAGAGTAGCCTACTGGCAGTTCTGTCTCTGCTTCCCTAATGCTGGGACATGGGCCACTACATCCACTTACTCAGGCATCTCTGTAATATGGTCCTTAAATGCAGGAAGGTAGCAGGTCTAGGCTCAGTCCTTATCCCAGTTCCCTTCTATGCTCAGAGTCACTTCTTAGATTTACATAACTTCTCAGTTTTGACTTCAAGACTAGGCCAAAATCTGCCCTGGGCAAGGGACTCTGGTAGAGAGCCTTGCCTAACACGCACAATATTCTGGAGTCTACGCCCTGGCAATGAAGAAAACAAAAATACTTAACTCTTCTGTGTCACAGAGCCTATGTATGCCTCAGACTGTTTCTAGAACCACATGAAAACCTATCCAAGGTCCAGCTTTCATTCCTTACTTAAATGTTAATGTTGCTGGAACAGTCAGTCAGTCAAGGAAATGGTACCTCTAACCAACTGTTTACACCAACCCACCTCCCATCCTCACTGGTCATTTGTTTTGTTTTGAAATTTTATTTTTTTGCGTCAGGGTTTCTCTGTGTAAATCCTAGCTGTCCTGGAACTCACTTTGTAGACCAGGCTGCCCTTGAACTCAGATCTCACGCCTCTGTCTCCCAAACGCTGGGATTAAAGGTGTGTGCCACACTACCTGTCTCTCCTTTTTGATAAGGCACATTAACTCAATCCTTCATCCTGGCTCACACTACAGCCTCCTATTCTGTTTGGCTCACAACCACTCAGGTATTGTGCTCTCCCAGTTTCCTATGGCTATCATTTGTTGTCTGCTTGATGCATGCACTTTTTTTTTTTTGGTTTTTCGAGACAGGGTTTCTCTGTAGCCTGTCCTGGAACGAGCTCTTGTAGACCAAGCTGGCCTCGAACTCCCAGAGATCCGCCTGCCTCTGCCTCCCAAGTGCTGGGCGGAGGCGTGCGCCACCACCGCCCGGCGATGCATGCACTTCTTAGGCTAGCTTCTCTGCAGGCTCACTCATTGACTTCTATTAAGAAGTCTTCCCAGACAGCCCAAACTTAGGGAACTCCTGTTCTACCCTTCACTCAACTTCTTCCACTGTCGTACTTACAATAGTGGCTGAGATGGCGTCTTGCCTTGTGGCAGCCCTTGACCACTTGGCACTTACCATCTGGCCTTGCTTTGCCATCTTTTTGATATCCGCAATGATTTTCTTTTCCTGGGTTTCTAGCTTCTGCCGCTCCCTGTCCAGCTCCCTCATGGCTCGGTTCAGGGCCCTCTGGTTTTGACGAAGGAGTTCCTCTGGCGTCTTCCGGCGCCCAAACAACAGGTCCATAGTGGTAGGACTCCACCAGTATGACTGGGGCAGACTTCAGACCTAGCTGTAGGATGCGGGGCCCAGGCAAAAGGCAGAAGTAGGGTCCTGTAAGTAGGGACCTGGGAACTGGGGGTATGCATGAGTAGTCAAAAAGAATTAGGACTAGAAGTGAGAACGGCCAGAACTAAAGTTATCCACTTCTTTGGCTCAGGCGCATCCCCTCCGCCCGCCCTGTTTTTAGACAGTAGGGCAGAATTAAGGGTGTGGTTCTGGAGTATTCCAGGGACCCAGACGTGAGTGACGCTGAGGTGTTTAAATTCAGTCAGGAGAGGATGGTTGTGGGGGCCCCTCAACAAGGGAGAACAGGATGGGGTAGGTTCTGAAACATAATAAGGTGGAAGTTGGGCCCTAAGGTGGGGCAATGGATTTGAATGATGAGGGATCCTGCCTCCCCGGGGTAGAAGTGGCATTCTACACCCAGGACGTGACAGAGACACGGAGGGCAGGTCTTGGGGATGTGGAGGAGCCTGCATACCGAGGGCAGGCAGAGGTGGGGACCTCGTTGACGAGGGCAGGGTCGGGCAGACTGCGCGACATCCGATACCCCAGCCGAGAAGTCCTCCTACGCTGCCGCCCAACCGGGACTGCGGCCCAGCAGGGGCCACTCACCGGAGCCGAGAGCGAGATGGGCTTCCGCTTCCGGGTCACGCCCCTTACTCTGCAAAGCCTTGTGTCCCCCACCAACGACAGCCCCTCGGTTCGGTAGCTTCTGCCGTCGCCGCCGTTTCCGGATTAAACGGCCTGACGTCACAGGTCCCACCCTCTCCCGGAATGCTGGGAAGTGGCAGGACGCACGCGCACAACCAGAAAACGGGCGCATGCGCAAAACGACCCACACCTCTGCGGAACTCCCAAGTCCCACCCTAATAACCCTTGCAGGCCCCGAGCAGGAATGCAGCACGAAGGCACCTTTGGCCTATTCATTCTGGAAGAGCCATTCTCCACCATTCTTTGGGTGGTTCATTCAGGGAATCTTAGCAAGTGCGAAAACTGGCAGGAGCCAAATCGGCGGGCCCTCACATGGCATAAAGGGGCAAGCCTGGAGATGATTTGTAGCTTCTTTATGTTGGTGTAAATGCCAGGAACCGAAATTAGCCGACTCTTCCATTGCTTGCTCCTCATCCCAGTGAGTGGTCCCACTCAACCCAAGGACACAGTTGCCACACAATCACAGACGCTTGTCCCTCCCAACCCACAGAAGGAAGAGGCAGAGGCCATGCAGTAACATTCCCCTTTAATAGCCTGGTGGGACCTCCAGTGGTGGTGGGGTGGGTTGCTTGGGCCCAGCGACCCAGGCCCACTGTCCACTTACCCCACAGTCAAGAGTGAGGTGTTGGACAGCACCCAGCGGGAGGGGGGGCGCTAAACAAGCCAATTCATTTCCCATCGCTGAGCAGGTCGGGAGGAGGCAGCGCCGACCATAATCACGTGGTGGTTAAAAAAAAATAACTAGGGGCAGGTGACAGGAAGGAGAGGCAAGGCCAAGGCAGGAGCCAAGGCTACCCCACACACCCTACCCGGGCCCCCAATAAATATTTGCAGGGGATGCCTGGGCTGGTAACCCTGGCAGGGATGGGTATTTGCTAACCCTATTTCAGGCAGCGCTCGAAGTAGGTGGACCCGATGTAACCACCTCTCATGGAGCGCTGCACGTTTTGTTCAAACAGCCGCCGGTTGTTCTGCAGGACCTCGGCAGCCTCCTTGTTCAGTGGGTCCTCGGGGTTGGGCTCCTGTGGCCAGCACAAGCGGAAGTTAACAGGCAAGAGAGGTAGGTAGATGGCCAACAAACCCTCAGCCTCAAATGCCTCTCTTACTCACCAAGAAGAGATACTGCAGGCCATAAATTATGGAGTTTATCGTAAGGACTGGCTTCCAGTCCTCTCTGTGGGCAGAGAGCATCAAGGTTATCACGGGTTGGTGAGTGGGAGGCTGCCACAGGCCCTGCTAGTACCAAACAGGTCAGGCCCACAGGAGGCTAGTAACACTGAAGAGTGAGAGGTGAGAAAGGGGTAGGGGATGGAACAGGGCAGGCCATGGAGAAAGCCCAGGTCTGGCTGTTAGGAAGGCAACTTGGAAATGAAAAGACAGAGAAACACGGACCATAAAGGAGACAAAAGGCTGAGAGGATGCAAGGAAGGCAGGCCTGGGGAGGGAGAGGCAAGGCAGTGCCATCACCTGAGGATGTTGAGGCAGACGTTGCCCTCGAGGTCAATGTTGGGATGATAAACCATTGTCTCACACTTCACCTTGGGGGGATCATGAGGATAACCTTGTCCCACCTGGCCCCAGAGAAAGAGAAAGGAGATGGGTGGGTGTTTTGACTATGCCTCAGCTGCTGCTGCTGCTTCTCCACCACAGAGTCACCTCTGTCCACTTGGGACTCACCTTAAAACTGAACACAAACTTCCCACTCTTGTAGAAGCCCTGGGAGAGGAAGGGGAGAATGAAGTAAGACCCTACTCTTAGGGTTCCCTATTCTCTATGGGGCTACCCCTGGTCTGTTCTTGGGAACCCTGCCATGCTTATTTTACTCTTACCTCATCAGGACAGATAACCAGCTTGAAGTTGAGGAGGTCGTCTGGGTCTGAGAAGCTGATGTCACAAGTCTTAGGCAGGTTCAGCTCGTTAATGTCTGGGTTTGGGCAGCAGAGAGAGGAGAGGAAACAGGTGAAAGAAAGGCGGTAGGTCTGGGCAGGTGTCAGAACTCCCAAGTCCTCCTGGATCTGTGTGGTGTGCTTTATTTACATCTCTGTCTGTACTATACACTCTCCCCACTTTTCTGTCTCTACATGGACTCTCCTGGATACAAAGTACCCCACATACAAGCATCTTCAGTTGTAACTGGGTACCCATCTCTTGGAACAGGGAAAACCCTTATTACCCCACTAAATCCCCCACCACAAGTTCCCACAACACAGTCCCCAAGAACCTCTATTTCTACAACCCTGGTTTCCAAGAAGCCCTGAGCACCTAAACCCGAGGCTCTCGAATCATGCTCTCCACTCACTACTGTGTACCTGTGCATCCTAACTCAAGGACCACTGACCCTTCCAACACTACATCATCTCTTCTCATCAACCATCCAAACTCCACTGTCCTTCCTCTTCTCCGGGTTATTCCACACCCCGGATCCCATTTGACTCTTGAGACTTTCAGCATGGTAGCTTAAATTGACCCTCACTCCCACTTTTTAGTCACCTTTCCTCCCTCCCCTTCACCTCCAACTCAAAACTGCTCTGCCCGACCCAGGGGAGAGTCCTGGGCTACAAGTCCTCAATATAATATAATAAACCGTCTCCTAATTATCTCCAGTTCACAACCTTCACCTTATCTTCATAGCCCGTGAAGCAAAGTTTCCGTCTGACTCCCAAACTGTCCCCTTCCCCTAACAGATTCCGGGCACCTAACACTCCAGGCCTTAGTATCCCAACGCCCCAAACCCGGCCCCAATCGCTGACCCTCCCTAGTGACCGCACCCCCGTTCCGCACCTCAACCCTCGAACCCTGACTTCCGATACTCTCACCTCAGAGGCTGCATTTTCACACCCCGGTCCCTGACTTCAAACGCGGGGTCCCGACCCCTACCCTTTTGGATCCGGAGCTGCGCCGCCGACGCCTTCTTGCTGCTGCCCTTGGTGCCGCCGGCCGACTCCTCCTCCTTCTTCTGCTGCTTCAGCGAGAACAGCTTGATCATCCTGCCGCCGCCGCCGCCGCCGCAGCCGCCGCGGGGCCCGGGACCCCGGCCACCCGGCCCCCCCGCCGCCTCCTGCGCCGCTTCCGCTTCTCGGACCCGCTGCCGCGGCCTCCTCCGCTGCCGCCGCCCGGCCTGCCGCTCTGCTCCGCGCCCACCACACGGCCCGCCTCGGCTTCCGTAGTCCGGCTCCTGGCCTGGCTTAGCGCCTCGGGTGAGTTCGGAGGCGCTCGGGAGGACTCGGCGATCCTCGGCCCCGCCCCTGCTTCGGCCCCCGCGCCCTTCTCCCCCCCCCCCCCCCCCCCCCCCCTCTTCCGCTCAGGTCTTGCGAGGCCCTGCTGTGGCTGAGGACGCCGGCCTTCCCGGGTCCGCCGCTCTCCCGCCTACTTGTTCCCTTTTCGAGGAGGCTGTGGTGAGGTGGAAGAAGGAGGTGGCAGCCGCGCTGACGGTGGCAGGGTACCGGTGGAGGCTTCCGCAGCAGGCGCGGCTGCTATGCGGAGGTCGGCAACGGCCTCGGGCGCCCCGCCGCTTCGGCACTTTCCGCCGCCTGCCTACTTCGGTTCTTCCTGTCCCGGTTGCGTTCTGCGCCTGCGCAACCCTTGCAGCCCCCAGTTTGCTCCTCGTTGGAGTTTGGGGATCGGTCTTCTTCGGTTAAGCTCGGGTATTTCCGTTTGTGGAGGTGACTATTCGGCGGTCCAGCGGGTACTTCCTGGGATGCACAGCAGAGTAGGAAGCGGTGCTTGCAACCATTTTTTGAGCGAGGCGGGTAGTGGCCGTTTGGTTTTTGGTGGTTCCATCCAATCTTGCACTTATGCGGAACGCAGCGGGAACGGGCTAAAATGGATCTTGCTCTCTGTGGACTCAGCAAAGGCAGAGCCTGGGCATTATAAGGGACGTTGTCTGAGCCCCTTAATCCTTTCGCAAACTCAGATTCCGATTGAAGTAAATTAGCTTAAAACTCTTATTTTTCTGGAGGCCGAGGCATCAGGTTCGATTGAGCTCAGGCGTTCAGGGACATACTAGGCAACAAACACATCGAGGCCCTTGTTCCTTAAAATCGATTACTACTGTGCAACAGAGAGTGAGTGCCGTGTAGTTTTACGATCCAAGGTGGACGTGGGTACAGTGTCCATAGCTACGGTCTAGAGACCAGCAGAAGTGGCCTTGTGCCTCTGGCGAACCTAGGTTGAGTCAGCTCGCATCCAGTCACAATTTAGGGTATTTGGGAGGCGGAAGGAAATAGCTTAGGATGAGCCAGTGTCTTCCGACTGTCATCTAGGAAACCAGCAAGCAGCCACGGTGGATGTTAGGCTTTTCTGCGCAGGTCTGGTCACCGCTTGAAAAACATACCTAGAACAGGTTGGGACTACTTCTTTATAAAGCAAAGGCCCTTCTTTGCCATCTGGCATATCATTCATACCACCAAGCATGAACCACGATTCTACATTTGGGACTTTGTACACCCTTGCTGGCAGCGCCCTAATCTTCCTGACCTATTTTTGTTTGTTTTGTTTTTCAAGACGGTTTCTCTGTGTAGCCCTGATTGTCCTGGAACTCACAGAGATCTGCCTGCCTCTGCCTCCCGAGGGCTGTGATTAAAGGCCACCACCACCACCCTCTCCTCCTGACCTTTTTTTTTTTTTTTTTGGTTTTTCGAGACAGGGTTTCTCTGTAGCCTGTCCTGGAACTAGCTCTTGTAGACCAGGCTGGCCTCGAACTCCCAGAGATCCTCCTGCCTCTGCCTCCCGAGTGCTGGGATTAAAGGCGTGCGCCACCACCGCCGGGCTTCCTCCTGACCTTTTAAATCTAGTCCCCGTTCAGCCCTCTGTCATCTCAGTGGCCCACCCCAGCAGCCTTTTTTGACTTTATCTTTAAAAGCTGAGAGAAGTTGGGGCCAAGGATGGGAACTCAGCTAGAGTTTGATGCCAACCTGGCCTCCACCATCTGCCCTGACCTCAAGCCCACACTGAGACCCAGAGAAAAACAATCACTCCAGAACTACGCTTTACCATTCCTCAGGTGCACAGCTTTATGCTGATTATTGCACAGCTGCGCTTTTGTGGCTTTACCTTTCTTCTTCCACCCAGGACCCATCCCAGGCCCAAACTCAGCAGGTAGTTCAAGCTGACCTTGAACTCACATTCTCTGCTGCAGTTTTCAGAGTGCTGTGCTCACAGGTGCTCACAGGTTCGTCCCTCCTGGCCCTCCCAGGGTCTCAGGACTAAATGGGCTTGGGTTATTTGTAGTCCTGCAGTTATACAGTGTTCTAGTACTTCCCTGCCGGTGTCCTTTCCCCACTGCTCAGATTCTAAAGTCTGCTTGTCTTGGTTCAGGATCTTCCTTGGTTTTTGTTTTGTTTTGTTTTTTTGAGACAGGATTTCTCTTTGTATCTTTGGAACTCGAACTCATAGAGATCTGCCTGCCTCTGTCTCCTGAGTGCTGGATTTAAAGGCGTTTGGTTCAGGATCTTTGCTGGTCTGTGAGGTAGAAGAGAACACTGAAAATTACGGGGACCCGAGAAAGGGATAGAACTTCTGACCCTGGAGCCTGGTTGAACCCTCTTTTCATGCATAAGCAAGAATGCCAGTACAAACCAGGTGCTGGTGGCACACGTCTTTAATCGCAAGCACTCGGGGTTGTAATTCCTACAATGTTTTTAGGAATCTCACCAGAAGCTCCATTTACAGGGCAAGGACGTGTACTGAACCTGTACACTTTAGTAGCTTTTGTTTTTACCTTATGAGATGATAATTCCATCCAAGGCTTGTCTGGAGCCGGTAGGAAAAGGTTTCTTAGGTTTCTTAGCAACCCTTTGAAATGTAATTTGAGAGCCACCCAAAAATGTATTTTATCTAGCTAATGCTAAGACAGTTGAGACTCTTCCTTGAAGATACCACATCCACTATTCCCCCCACCCCCATTCTTCCATGGAAAACACATCCACACTTGGTTAAGTCATTTTGAGCACTTCTCTCATGCTTAAAGCTTATTTACAATATGTTTAATAAAATCTCCAACTTTGCATCATACTGGCTAGGGCTGAAATTCTTTTCTGCATTGGAACCATGAATCTCAGTTTGGTCTGAGTCCATATCTCTATAAGATGAAGGGTGTTCCATAGGCCGCTAAGTGGCCTCATGGAGCTGTGTCTTTGTCCCATCACAACTGACAGTTGGGGGGAACAAGGGAGTGTCACGGGGACCAGGGATTCCCCCTGCCCTCACTCTGTCACGCAGGATCAGCCTCTGACTTGGTTTGACTTGTTTATTTTCCTTGAGGCCAGATCCCGGTTTTGGGTGTCATGAAGTGGCAGGAACAAGTGAAGCAGCTTGAACATGCAGACCTTAAAATGGTGTTCCTGGGACCTCCCAGAACAGGTCTGACAGCTACCCAGAGAAAGGCCTCAACCTGGGTTTAGGGCTCAAGCTGAATGAATTGTGGTAAATGGGTCTTCTTTGACTACTTGCACTCCAGTAATTCATGGGAGGGGGCAGCTGTGTCAAAGTCACAGATGGAAGGGAAGGTGGCTATTGACAGGAGGAAATGGCATGGGACACCAGGCCTGAAGTGTCCAGGGTCATGCAAACTGTTGTCAGCTGTATATCCTGTCACTTCTTGCAGAATGCACTCCTGAAGAATCCCCATTGTGAAGGAGACCCCTGTAGCGCTATGAACAGAGCCATGGTGGAAGGGCCTGTGGTTGGAGTGAGGGGAACAGAATCCAGAGGATAGAGCTCTGGAGTCCTGAAGTCCGTGCTCCACAATTCGGGGTCTCACTCATTCCTTCTTAGTACCTGTTAGTTGCAAACCCATGAGGACAAAGGAAATACTGAAATGTTTGAGTTTCCAGGTTATACCTCCCAATCTGGTGTTTATCTCATGGCACCTCCCATGTTCACTCAGTGCCCATCCTGCTGGTGGGAAGAAAGCTTTGGCTTTCTGCTCATGACTGTTTCAGGGGTTTGGGGTGGGGTGCTGTTAGGAGGAAAGTGAATGGACAGTGGGTTTGGGCACAGGGAAACAATGTCATGGGAGTTGCTGGTATTGACTTAGCAAGACGGAGAGCACAAGAGGTGGGCAGTCTCTTTGGAGGCTCTGGAAAGTGGTGAGAGTATCAAGGCACCACGAGATCCTGTCTCCTGACAAAGGTTGAGGAATCATTCAAGTTCCTGCCTCTGGTCTCTAGACCTGTCTATCTGGGCATCGCTGCAGGGCGGGGACTCCACAGAGGCCTTTCAACCTGCTGCTCTGAGAAACAGGGTGCCACAGGGGCTGAGCAGAGTGGCCTTGTGGCCCTTCACAGCCAGACTCTTCACCTGGCAGCCAAGGCCCTTCTGGTAGTAGTGTACACACTACCCAGAGTCAGGCCTTCTAGCTCTCTGGAGAGAAGGGCCCTGAAGGTCCTTAGGATTCTCAATCACAGTGGCACAGGATGAGCAATGAGTGGCTCCTCCCCCCAAAGCCTTTTCTCCTTGACAGTTCATTACTTTAAAAATGTAAAGCACTAGGAAGCTGCCAGAGATCTTCACTGCTAAGCCTGCCCACTTTTCTGAGTTCTAGCTCAAAAAGCATAACTTTTCTTAGCCCCCTCTCTTTGAATACTCGCTCAAGTCCTAAGTGTGCTTATCTTCTTACTCTGGACCTTCTCACCGTCTCCGATAACCCCAGCCCTGCTGCTCCCATCCAGCTGATTGCTGACAACCACAGCTGAACCTTCCTGCTTTCTGGGACCCTGACTCAAATGGCACGCTTCTGTCTTCCTCTTTCCCTCTCTTTCCTGTCCATTTCTCTCTTCTCAGCTGCAACCAAGATTTGTTTTTCTCTCCAACTCATAAAATGGTCTTTAAAGCAGAAGGCATTGATCCCAGGGCCTGGTGAATGTTTGACAAACAACCCATCCATAAACTACATTCCTAGCCCTCTTTTAAAGGCTCTCCCCCATTTATTTCTTTACCCGTGTGTGTACATGTGCACACATAACAGAAAAACAGATACACACAGCTTGTGCAGGTCAGAGGACAACTTTCAGGAGTTGGTTGTCGCCTTCCAACATGTGGTTTTAGGGATCAAACTCAGGTCATCAGGCTTGATGACAAGTGGCTTTACCACTGAGCCACCCCACCCAACCCCATAAGCCCTGGGTTTTTGTTTTGAGATAGGTCTGTATGCTAAGCAGGCCTTGAACTAGCTAGCAGTCCACCTGCCTCAGCCTCCTGCAATAGCTAGAATGATTACAAGCCGGTTACCATTACACCACCACATTTGTATAGTTGTATTTGGGCTTCTTTTTTTCTGGACATGTTCTCACCTACCTGTTGAACTTACGGCAGTGCTTTTGCCTCTGCCCTCTATCTGCTGGGGTATGGGCATGTGCCACCACACTCAGTGTGTGCTTTTGAGATAGCAGCTTATGGTGTAGCCCAGACTAGCCTAAAACTCTGTAGTCCTTTCTCAGCCTCTGAAGTGCTAGGGTGCCACCACATCCAGCTGGACTACCCTTTGTCCCTTTGTCGTCACCCAGCAGTCATGGTGGACCTCCCCAACCCCCCCTCCCTGTTTTTTTTTTCCCCTTTTTTTCTTTTCCTTTTTGTTTTTTGTTGTTTCTGTTTTTCGAGACAAGGTTTCTCTGGGTAACAGCTCTAGCTGTGGCTGTCCTGGAACTCACTTTGTAAACCAGGCTGTCCTTGAACTCACAGATATCCAACTGCTTTTGCCTCCAGACTGCTGGGATTAAAGGCATGGGCCACCACTGTCCAGGTAGATCTCTCGACTAGACCCTGGTTAAATTTTTTTTTTTTTTTTTTTTTTTTTGTGAGTGTAGCTACTTTTCACCATCTGAGGCCGGGCATACCTATTGTATAAGCCAGAGGTATGGTACAGAGTATATCCCACAAGAGAGCAGGTGTGGTAGGTACGGTTACTTGGGAAGTATACGGAAGGCCAAGGCGCAGAGGATATGCCCAAGCTGAAACAGCCGTTAGGTGGGCAGAAGAACCGTGCAGGTGGGGAAGCATCATCTATTTATTGAGTACCTACTGAAGACCTGGCCCTCAGCGGGCCTGTTGTCGATGCCAGCCTCACAACAACAGTGTGAGGTGTTTTTGACCTACTCAGTGCTGTGCACACGCTGGTGCTGAATGAGCTTGGTGCTCTGGTGGAAGCGGCGGCCACAATCCTGGCAGGCGAAGGGCTTTTCGTGCCGGTGGGTGCGCAGGTGCTGCGTGAGCGTGGGCCGCTGGCGGAAGGTTTTGCCACACTCGGGGCACGAGTAGGGCCGCTCGCCCGTGTGGATGCGCCGGTGCTGGGTGAGGTTGGCATGCTGCCTGAAGCTCTGGCCGCACTCGGGGCAAGCGAAAGGACGCTCACCTGTGTGGATGCGCTGGTGCTCAGTGAGCCGAGACACCTGCGTGAAGCCGAGGCCGCACTCATCGCAGTGGTAGGGCTTCTCGCCCGTGTGGGTCCTCTGGTGGCGCGTGAGCTTGAGTCGCTGGCTGAAGCGCTGGCCACACTCGGGGCAGGCGAAGGGCTTCTCGCCTGTGTGCACACGCAGGTGCTGCGTGAGTGTGGGCCGTTGGCGGAAGGCTTTGCCACACTCGGCGCAGGCGAAGGGCCGCTCGCCGGTATGGATACGCCGGTGCTGGGTGAGGTTGGAGCGCTGCCGGAAGCTCTGGCCGCACTCGGCACAGGCGAAGGGCCGTTCGCCGCTGTGCACGCGCCGGTGCTGCAGCAGCACCGAGCGGCGGCCAAAGCGCTCGCCGCACTCCACGCATCCGAAGGACTTGTCCCCAGTGTGCACCGCCTGGTGCTCTAGCAGCACGGCACGGCGGGGGAAGCTCTCACAGCACTCGCTGCACGGGAAGGGGCCCGGGGGCTCGGGAACTCCCGGGAGGGGCAGGGTGAGTGGCGCTGGACCGGGCGGGTCACCGTGGATGCGCTGGTGCTGTAGTAGGTTGGAGCGCTGCCGAAAGCTCTGGCCGCACTCTGCGCAGCGGAACGGCTGCTCACCAGTGTGCACTCGCCGGTGCTCTTCCAGGCGCGAGCTGCGCACGAAGCCCTGGCCACAGTCACGGCACACGAAAGGCCGTTCCTCGGTATGCGTGAGCTGGTGGCGCAGCAGGTGAGAGCTGCGACTGAAGCTGCGGCCGCACTCGCCACACACGAACGGTCGCTCGCCCGTGTGGATCTTCTGGTGCCGCAGCAGATTGCTTCGCTGACTGAATACCTTGCCACACACGTCACAGCGGCCGCCTCGTACCGCTCCAGTCCCGGTACTAGGGCGGCCCCGACTCCGGCCCTTTGGGGCATGCCTGCGAGTCGCCACCAGTGCTGGGCCCACACCGGGGCAGGGATTCTCACAGGCAGGGTCCTGTTCACCTCCCGGGTTGCTGGGGAGCACGAGGGCATGGGCGAAGCCACCTTCTCGGGTGGGGGACTGCATCTGTCCAGAGAGGCTAGCCATGTCGAGATCCCAGGGAACATGGAGGTGGGGGCTCACCGTTTCTGGCTCTGCCATGTCCATCTGAAGCGCAAACCCTGCACAAGGGGACCCATTCTTTCATGAGACTCTGGCTTTCTGCCCTAACCCACCGAATTCTGGGAGACTGAATTACAGGCCTGGAGCTGGCAGGTGATGCAGACAGGAGATGAGAGTGGCAGCTGTATCTGGACAGATTTCCCTGAGGTATGTGTGAAGGCTTTCCTGATTGGACGTAAGTCGCGGGGAGAAAACTAACACCTCTTTGTGGAAGTGGGTGATAGTGGGGCCCAGTTTAGGTGGGAAGATGCAAAGAATGTAGATTCAATAAAGACCAGAAGAACATCAACAGGAAGCAGTAAGGGTGGGAATACAGTTCTTTAGTTTTGGATTTGGACTTGCCACACTTGAGATGGCCCAAACATACTAGAGTAAGAGGATTGCATGTAGTGTTGGAGGTTGGGGATGAGATGAACACAAGCCTACATGTGATCAACATGAGAGCTGTTTGTAGAAGCATGCTCCTGCTACAGAGTGAGCCGTCCAAGGTGCAAGCCTGAGGCACAGTGGACTACAGAGTGAGCTTCCAAGATATGAGGCTAATCGAGGGATGAGGTGTCCACCCAGGCAACTGAGGCTGGAGACAAAATGAATGACAGAAACTCCATGAGGCACCAAAGGGAAGTAAGAGAAATTAGAATGCACAAAAGGAAACCAGAATCAAAAGCCGCGCTAACAACTCTCCAGAGACTAAGGGATAATTAAATTACTACAGAAGCTTGAGACAATTCATAGCGTGCTGACAGCCACACTGTGGAAGTATGTGAACAAGAAATAATGTTTAACAAGAAATAATTGTTTAAGCTCCACTCAACATGCTAGTCCCTGCTTAGGAAAATTCACAGCAGGGCTGCATTGACACATTATTTCCTAGTCGCAGCATTTTTTTTTTTTTCCAGTGATGGGACCCAGGAAGTCTCATGGTAGGCCAATGGTCTATCATTGAGTTACATCTGCTAACCTGTTACCATAATCTTTTCCTTTTTTATGATTGTGTGTCTGTATACCATGTGAGACCATGTGGCTACAGTTCCTGTGGAGGCCAAAGTCGGGGGTTGGATTCCCTGAGACCAGAGTTAGATAATTGTAAGCTGACAGTGGGTGCTGGGAACTGCAAGAGAAGCCAGTATGCTCTTAACCGCTGAGCCAGGTCTCTAGCCTTGTTTCCATATTAAGTGTTTGTATGCATTGCTGGTACAACACAGGCTGGGTTGGAAATGTTTATCAAAATAGTGTGTGGAGGTGAGCACTTCCATTCACAGAATTTGGGGGATGGAGGTAGGAGTTCAGGGTTGTCATCTACTGCAATCAAGTTCAAGGCCAGCTGGGTTACATGAGATACTTTCTTGAAAGCACAAATCAAAACAGCGGTGTTTCACACCATCCCAGGAATTATACTTCTAGGCATTCCTGTTTAGTAGCTGTATTCCTCCTGGTGTCAATGACCTATGCACAGGGTTTTCTAGTATTTAATGAGAATCAATCCAAAGAACTGTGGACAAGGGAGTGAGTGTGGACCACAGTTAGTCTTCAGAGCTGTGTGAAGACCCGTGACCACCCCTGCTGTTTGCCAAGCAAATGGCATGAAAAGAGGGGAATGAGGTCATTTGGGAATCCATGAATATTTTCTTTCTTTCTTCTTCTTTTTTTCTTTTTGTTTTGTATTTTAAGACAGGGTTTCTCTGTGTAGCCCTGGCCACCTTGGAACTCACTCTGTAGACCAGGCTGGTCTTAAACCCACAGAGACCCACCTGCCTCTGCCTTCTGAATGCTGGGATTAAGAGTGTGTGCCACCACCGCCTGGCCCATAAAGAGTCTTTGTAAATATGTGCATGTATACATGACTGCATAGTTTAATTGTACCATGTGTATGCAGGGCCCTAGGAGGTCAGAGGGTATCATCCCCTGGCACTGGAGTTCCAGGACATTGTGAACATCCTGAGATGTGTTTGAAAAGCCATAAACACTCTTAACCACTGAACTCACTCTCTAGCCTCAAGGGTTTTTTTTTTTTTTTTTTTTTTTTTTTTTTTTTTTTTTTTTTTTTAAAGATTTCTTTATTTATTATGTAATCTGTTGTCTGCATGTACATCTGCAGGCCAGAAGAGGGCACCAGATCTCATTACAGATGGTTGTGAGGCACCATGTGGTTGCTGGGAATTGAACTCAGGACCTCTGGAAGAACAGCCAGTGCTTTTAACCTCTGAGCCATCTTTCCAACCCAAGCCTTAAGTTCTTTAAAATATATTTTTAGCCTACATATTGGTGTGTGCGTGTACTTATACTGGAGTGCACATGTGGAGGTCAGGGGGAAACCTGCAGGATTTGGTCTTTTCCTTTCACCATGGGGGTCCTGGTGAACCAAGCAAGGTTGGTTCATTTTCTATTTATTTGTTTAGCCTTTTGAGATAGAGTCTCACTTATATATCCCTGGCTGTCACTTTGCAGACCAGGCTGGTTCTAAACTCACCTGCCTCTGCTTCCTGAGTGCTGGGATTAAAGGTGTGCCTTGCTTTACCTGGTTTGTTCATTAAAATTTTTTAACCTATTTTATGTGTATGAGTGTTTTGTCTGCATATATGTATGTCTGTGCACCATGTGTGTGCCTGGGGCCAGAGGAGGCCAGAGAGGGCGTCAGATTCCCTAGAGTTACAGATGGTTGTGAGGCAGCTATTCTTTCCAGCCCCAGGGTTGTTCATTTGAAAATACTATTTTTATTTGAGACAGAGTCTGTATGACCCTAGCTGCCCTGGAACTCACTTTGTAGTCCAGGTTAGCCTTCAACTGACAGAGTTCTACCTGCTTCTGCCTCTGCCTCCTGAGTGCTGGGATTAAAGGAATGTGCCACCAACTGGCCGGCTATGTCCCAGTATTTTTATTTTAATTTGTGTATATATGTGTATGTGTAATGTGCATGTGAGCGCTGTGACCTCCAAGGTTACTGGAGCTGGAGTTAGAGGAGGTGATCAGTTTGCTTGATTGACCTGAATGCTAGGAACCCAACCTGGTCCTCCTATCTGTTTATCTTCAGTCCCTTAAACGGTTTCTTCTTTTTGAACTTTTCTTGCAGTGCATGGTAGTGCATGCCTATAATTCCAACACTCTTGGTGGCAAGAAGGCTGACATAAGTTTGAAACCAGCCTTTGATACATAGTGTGGTCAAGACTCCCTGGTTACACAGAGAAAACCAACCAAAAACAAGGAACAAAAGCAAACAAACTAACAACAACAACAAAAAGCCACAAACACAAAAATCCAAACTACCATCACCACAACAAAAGACCCTTTTGTCTTTAAATTTTTTATTTTAGATGTATATGGGTGTTTTGCCTGTATGTATGTCTGTGTACCACGTGTATGCAGTTCCTACAATAGTCAGCCTTATCCTCTGGGACAATTTCAAGTTACCATGTGGGTGCTGGGACTCAAACCCAGGTCCTCTCAAAGAGCAACCTGTCTTTTTAACCACTGAGCCATCTTTCCAACCCCATATAAAAAGCCTTTTCATCTTTCTGCTTTTTTGTTTTGTTTTTGGTTTAAAACAAAACAAAATGGGTCTCACTATGTAGCTCTGGCGATCTTGAACTTGCTATGTAGTCTACATTGGCTTTACATTCACAGAAATCTGTCTGCCTTTGACTCTTTTAGGTGCCGGGATTAAGGGTGGATGCTATCATTCCTGGTTTGCTTTGTGCTTTTGAAACAATGTTTCACTACGTATCTAGACTGGCTCTAGGTGTGTTTATATAAGGCTACAGAGCACCTGGCTGTACGGGAATAGGTTGTTTAACCAAAGGGAAAACTCTTGAGAAGGGTGTTGTCAAATGGCTTTTGATTTTTACATTAAGAAATTATTTTTGGTGTGTGTGTCTCTATGGCCATGGGCATGCTATGATGCATATGTGGAGGTCAGAAGACAACTCGTGGGAAAGACTCCTTCCACCACGTGGGTCCTAGAGATTGAATTCTCGCTGCCAGGATTAGCAAGTACTCTTTCTGCTTGAGTCATCTTACCAGCCACAACTTTTTGAGACAAGATGTCACACTGTAGTCCAAACTGACCCTGAAGACATGGCAATCCTCCAGTTTCTGCCTACCTACTGCCTCCACCTCCCAAGTGCTAGGTGTGTAAAGCCATACCCAGCTTTGGCAATATTGTAAGGTAATTGTTATTTGTGATCTGGGTTGACCAACACACTGTTAATGCGGTGCATGGTGAGATTGTGTCTGCTTTGCGTACAAGTTCTTTCCGGAAGGCACTGAGAATTTGTGTTGACTGCTGGCCACAGATGGGGCACTCTACTGTGTACTCTTTGCACACCTTTTGGAGTTTTCACCATGTGAATGTATTAACTATGGATGCTGTGCTGAACTGGTCTAACCTTGGGAAACAAGCTTGCTTTTGCTTCATGGTAGGGTGGGTTCAGCGCAAGGAAGCTGCCACATCTGAGCAGGACTATTAACTGCCCTGGCTGCAAAATGTAGATGCCTGTTTAGAATGGGCAGTCCCACTGAGCCATTTCTGACTTGGGATAAGACAAACCATTATTGTCTCAAGGCTACGTATGCAGCTGCTAACCAGGATACACCCCAAATGCAGATATCTCAGGGCTCCGGGACACGGAGATGCTGCTTCACTGTACACATGGCGACTCACTGCTACCCAAAGCAGCCTCATGGAATGGCTCTGTGGAGACAGGCTCTGTTTACGGTCTTGTCTTCTGAGGTCCCACCATGTACTAAACTACTTCTGCCTTGTGTCTTTTTTTTTTTAAAGATTTATTTATTATGTATATAGTGTTCTGCCTGCATGTATCCCTGCAGGCCAGAAAAGGACACCAAATATCATTATAGATGGTTGTGAGCCACCACATGGTTGCTGGGAATTGAACTCAGGACTGCTGGAAGAGCGGCCAGTGCTCTCAACCTCTGAGCCATCTCTCCAGCCCCCTGCCTTGTGTCTTTAGTGAGTTCATTTGTATCTGCATGTTACCAGCCTGTTAATGCTGTCCCTGGTATGGTGTTAACATTTAAAATGGTGTTATAATGAAGTACTAGAAAGATCTCTGGGAGTATAGCTCTCATAGTAGACTGCATGTTTAGTGTGTGTAAAAGGCCAGGGTTCAATCCCTGGTGTACAAGTGTGTGCACAAACACAAACATGCACGCCTTTGTATGCACACACCCATGTGCATGCACCACCACCAAATCACCAACAGGGCTGTGACTTGTCTCAGCTGGTAGACTTCTTGTAGCATGCATGAAACCCTTGGTTTTGGCCACAACACTGCGTAAACCGGGAGAGGTATCCTGCACCTATAATTCCAACACTTGGGAAGTAGAGGCAGGAGGATCAGTTGTTCATGATCCATCCCAGTTACATATTGAGGTCCAGGCCCCCTGGGATATAGCAGACCCTGTCTCAAAACAAAGCAGGATTCTCTCCCAATAACCAAAACTCTGGCCTCCACAAAAGTCACAGCTGGAGGATGAGTCAAGCAGCCAAGGGGCATGACAGGAGTCATGGAGGTGAAGATGAATTGATGTTTGAAAGCAAAAAGTATGGTTCTCTACAGCAAGAGCGGCCCAAGGAAGAAGCAGCTAAGGAGCTGGAAGCAATAGTGCCAATGTGCCTGCAGGAGAGCTAAGAGACTGGAACTGTGGTGAAGAGAGGGGCAGGTCCAAGAAGACAAAGTGGTCTCTAGGCAACACAAGCAGGGCTGGTCAGGCCCGGTGACTGCTGGGTGTTCTCTTCTGCCTCAGTGTGCTGCCAAGCCTGATGACCTGAATTTGAGTCCCAGGATCCTCATGACAGGGAGAGAAAACTGACTCCTGCAAGTTGTTGTCTGAACGCTATCTACATGTGTGCTATGACACACAAAACGGGGGGTGGGAAGCTGGAGTGGTAACAAAGAAGGACCACCCCAGAGGCCAAGAGCCTCGGTTACACCATCACATCATGCTCCAAAGAAACATCTCATGGCAGTTCCCTACGAGGAGATATGTGAATTTCAAATAGAGAGGACTTGTCAACAGCAGAAATTAAACAGAAGAGGCCTGAGACTGAGCCTAACAGAACAGTTCTGGGACTGCGGGTACAGCTCAGTGGTAAGACTCCTACCTAGGACAGGCCAAAGCATGGCTCAGTGGTGGGACAAATCCCTGGCTCCACCAGAGAGGTTAAAGTAGGGCTCAGTAGTAGAGTTCTTGTCCATACCCAGCAGTGGGAAGCTGGGAGTGTAGCTCTGTGACAGTGTGCGTGCCTAGCATGCCCAATCCCTGAGCTCCCTACCCAGTGTGGAAAAATAAACTACCTAACATGGACTAGACAACTGGGTTTCAGATCTGTAACCTCTCAAAAATTTAACTCCTGCACCAGAATTCAGAGGATGATGCCTTTACACAGGGAAGTCAATCAAGAAATAGGAGGCGGGGTCCTGGTCCCTTCTCAGCAGTTCTCAGAACTACTTTTGCCTTATCTACCAATAAATAGGCTTTCCTCACCAGGTCCCAAACTTCCCTGCTCTGGTATCCAACCTTCAAGATGCAGACCAGAGTCTGGAGGCCATGAAGAATTCCACGACTGGACACAGGATGTGGGTATGGGGGAAGACAAGGTCTGTTTCCAGGAAGGTATTATGATGCAGGGCAGAGTCAGGAGGAGCCAAGGGCAGAGAATGCTAAAGGAGCTACTGCAGAGATGAGGTTGTCTTGTATAGGGACACAAGGATTCGTGGGTGTAGGGGATCATGAGGAGGATTCAGTCCCACTGTGTCTGTCTCACTAACCTGGTGAGAAGATGCCCCCTACTTCCTCTTGCCACAGGGCTACAGGGTCCTCACTCCATGGGGCAACATCAGGCTCAGTGTCGCTGTGAGGAGAGGTCTGGTCCAGTGCTGTCCCATGGCCCTGCAACCACAGTGGTCACTGTTGGACTGTGCCTGGCTGGGCCACCCACCCATTAGAGGCTCTTAGGGCAAAGGGTGGCTCACACTCTGTGTAGGGCTCACCTGGGCCTCCTTAGGTAGGAGAGCAACTGTAGCCTCTTGGGCAGCAGGAAGAGGCCCAGAATCCAGGAGTTCTGGGGAGAAAGAGTGGGGTCAGGCAGCTCAAGAAAGTTCTTACCCTCCCTAGCAGTGCTAGGTGCTGGGTTCCAGACACAAAGGCGATAGGGCATGAACTCAAGGCTGGGAAGGACAAGGCAGGGTAGCTGATGACCCAGTTGGGAATGGGGTCAAGTAGGGCTTTTTAGAAGGCAAACAGTTGAGACAGCGCTGGTTTGTGCCTCTGCATCTCTGTGGGTCCCGGGGCGGCGTGTCCCATGATGCTTGGGGAAAACTGTGGAAATGGGGCTGTGGAGGCTAGACTAGAGGGTAGACGAAGGCCAGGGGCAACACTAGAACTATTTCATCTAGCAGAGCCTGGCTTAGTGGAGTGTAGGCAGCTTGGCCCAGGCAGGCTTGAAGCCCCACCCACTTTGTCTACTCTCACCTGGATTCTCCATAACCTCTGTCTCCTCCTCTTTCATTCGAAGGTTCACTGGCAATTCCTGCATGGGCTCAGGGGGAGTTTCAGCCCCAGGCTCTGGAGTCTGGAGCTTGATGTGAGGTATAGGCTGGAAGCTGGAGGGTTCCATGTTTTCTGATAGGACCTCCTTTCCCTGTACCTGGACTGTGACCTAGAGAGATGCATCGAAGAAGGACAGAGTGGAGCTGGGTACAACCCATGCTCCATGGGCACCCACTCTACTGCAGGACTTCCTGGTCAATACATAATGGGTAGGTCTTCCAAAGTCCTCCCCCTTCCCTTCCCTGTCCCCAAGCAGAAAGCAAAAGGGCTCTCTGCTGGCACAGGGCTGCCTGGTACCCTTTGTGTCTCATCTAGCTTGGGGGATGACAGGTAATAGAGGTATGGGCTCCTTGTCTTGAGCAACCTCATGAAGGATCCAGCCCTGACCTTCCACTCAGCTATTGACTCACCCATTTCCGAGGTCCATCCAGCTCCCATCGAAGTCCGTCAACCAAGGCAGCCGCCTCTTCAGGGCTGCCTGGCCACTGCCCTTGCACATGGGCCTGTATCTCAGGAGGCAGTGCACCTAGAAACTGTTCCAACACCAAGAGTTCCAGCATCTGTTCCTTGGAGTGTACCTCTGGGCGGAGCCACTGGCGACACAGCTCACGGAGCTGGGCCAGGGCTTCCCTAGGGCCAATTGCCTCCTCGTAACGGAAGCACCGGAAGCGTAGACGTGCAGCCTCAGGGTCCGGGTCCCACAGACTGCCTTCTTCCTCCTCCTCAGTGTCCTCCAGCTTCACCACAACAGGCTCATTTTCTGGGGGTGCACGGCCTGGGGAACCCAGCACAGTAGGTCTCATCAGGAGTACCAGATCAGGTCTCAGGTCAGCGTCTGTCCCTAGGAAAGGAACAGTGAGTGTGAGACATCTGGAGTAAGGACAGACAGTGGCAGCGAATGCTTACTGAGTGCCTACTGTATGCTGTGTTGTTTGCCCCTGAGACCTTCTCCACAGAGTACCCGTGAGGGAACAGGCACTGACAGGCCAGCCACACCCCAGAGACCCGTGGGAACTCAGCAGAGCCACTTGCTTTGCTGATCTTTCCAGCTGGGCCTCTGCAATGTCTGGTAGCTTCTCCTATTCTAAGTACCGGCTGCTGCTTAGGTTCTTCCCTAAATTCTGTTCTTTTCATTTCTCTTCCCTGAATTCTATCCTTTTTTTATACCAGCAGCCTCATCCCAGAAGTCACCTCTTTATTTACATCCGGGCATCAGTACCACTGCTGCCTCCTCCCCAACTCCCACTATCAGCCTATTAATGTTTTCTCTCCAATCTCAGGCATGCATCCCCTCCCAGTGTGGTCTCAAAGAGATAGCCACCTTATCCCTATCCCGCATCCCAACTTCTCTCAGGCAACGCCTTTCCACTGCTCCTCTCCAAGGAAGAAGCTATAACATCACATTTAGCAACCATTCATTTCTTCAGCTCTAATTTAGTTGGCTTTCGGAGGTAACGGGGGGGTACTTCTGAGGACCCTCAAAGGCCCCCTAAATCACTGGAGCAACAGTCTGCAAGGAAGGTCCGAGATGCTGATTCCGCTGTGCCTATGTGAACTCTGCAGTTTCCTCCCCTGCAAATAGGGCTGACTCCCTTCCCTACATACTTTCTGCAACTGGGACTTTGTGAAAATCTGAATTTATTATTGGGGTGGCATCAACTTAGAGGCAGTTAGATTTCTGTGGGTCACACCTCTGCCGCCTCAGGGTGCCAAGTCAACTCGAAACCCTAGAAGAAACTTGGAACAGCCACTAAACAAGTAGAGGAGGATCCGGAAATACATTTCCCAGAAGTCTACCACTACTTTAAGCGCCACTACTTTAGGGTGCTTAAGAGATCTGTCGCCGTGGCAATGGTGGCGATTGGAAAGCTTGCGTGACAGCGCAGGGAGATCTCAGACCTCTGCCGAGGCTCAAGGTCTAGCTGGGCAGCCGGAACCCCAGAATCCACTCCCCTCTGTAGTCCCCACTCCATCTCAGTCCCCTCCTGAAGTTTCGCGGTGCAGGGACTCCCAGCCTCCCTTCAGTGTTCCGAGGGCGTGAGCGCTCCTAAACGTGCGCACTCCCGTTCCCTTTCTCCAGGTCAGACTACATTTCCCAGACTACTCCGCGCGCAGCTCCAGCCCTTCTTCCCTTCCCCCACCCCACCTCCGTTTCTACCCTTCTTCCTGTCCCCAGGGAATTGCGCTGGTAACGATCAGGTCACTCTCCTGGCCTTCTCTTCCCACACTCCCCGTCTCAAATCCAGGCGTTTGGGCCCCGTCGACGTGCGCAATCCTCTCTGGGGGCAACGGATGGTTGCACCGCCTTCCAGTCGGCGCATGCCCCCCACCACATTTTTGTCAATTCTGTGCAGGCCTTCCCAGGATTTGCAGGTTTCTGCACCAATCACCGTTCTCACTAGGACGCCGTCAGCCTCCTCGTCTCCATGGCAACCCCGGTTCAGGAGGTGCGCCCCTTCGGCTACCTCTTGAGCAGCGGAGAAAAACGTTCAGCTAGAGGCTTTCTGGGAGTTGTAGTTGGCAGGGTACTCCGTGTGTGCAAGCACAACATCACCGGACCTGGGTGGGACCGAGCGGAGCTCCATGGTAACTGGGGGACCAAATCGGGTGGTTTCCTGGGTAACGCCCAGACTACCAGGTTTGGGAAAGGCTGTTCGGTTCTGTGGTGAGGGAATGGGAAGGGAACAAAGGGCACCAAATACCCAACGAGATAGTTATTTAGGTAGGAATTAATTAGGGTAGCAGATATACCCGCACACAAAGTCAGGAGCAAGAGCGGCGAAAGGGCGCGGAGATTGTGAGGGCGGAGACTGAATGCGAGGAGGGAGTAACAGTGAATATAAGTGAACACACACAGTGATACAGGTCTGAATGAAAGGAAGAGTTTCATTCATTAGAGCCCAGAGCATTTGGACCTGAGGCATGTCAGAAAATTTAGTGAGAGGAAGAGAGAAACAGAAAGGGATTGGGATTAGGAAGGCGAGACATCGAGATTCTAGAGACCGACACGAATAGAAAGGTACGCAGGGAGAAAAGACGGAGAGTAGAGATACAGTAACACGGACTGATAGGTTTCAAAGACGGAAAGAAAGACAGCAACAAGAGGAGAAAGAGAGTTGGATGTGTGCGTGAGGGAGGCGTTTTAAGAAAAAATTCATAGAAAAATTGACGATACTCCAGAAAGATGACTGGGAGCTGTCCAGTTTCCTCACATCATTTACCAAATTCATTTTGGGACATCTGACGATTTAAACGTAGTAGATTATTATTATTGTTATTTTGTCTTATGTGCATGAGTGCCAGGTCCCCTGGAACTGGAGTCACAGACAACTGTGAGCTGCCGTGTGGGTGCTGGGGACTGGACCCAGTTCTTAACCTCTGAGCCATCTCTCCAGCCTTAACCCCCTTGTCTGTCTGTCTGTCTTTCTTTCCTTTCTTTCTTCTTTCCTTCCTTTCTCTCTCTCCTTTTTTTTTTTTTTTTTACTTTTCTGTGATTGAAGTCCACACACTCACTATTCTAGTAGAGACTGACTTGCAAGAAGCTGATGGGTTGCAAATGAGTTCTGCCAATGCATGCCCTAGAGGGTAGCTAAATAGCTCTGTATGCTTACATCCAGCCTTTTGTTTTGTTTCAGATTCATTGTTTCATCTTCCTGGAACCACCCTTGGTACCTTTCTGGTTTCCAGGAGGTACATAAATTTGACATATATCCTTGAGAGTTGTGGTTTTAATTTATATGTATTTATTTTAGGCGGGGGTCTCACGGTGCTGTCCTGGAACTCCCTACATAAACAGAGTGGCCTCACACTTAAAAAATCCCTTGTCCTCGCGAGGGATGGGATTAAAGGCTTGTGCCATGGCCCCTGTGCCCAGTCTTTTGGTTTTGGTCCTGTCTCAAGTAATCCAGGTAGGGCCTCCAGAGCTTGGTAGAGCTAATGACCTTGAACACTGGATCCTTTTGCTTTTACCTCTGTGTTGTGGGTAATGACTATTAACACCACTCCAGACAGGACTGAAGCAGTGGAACAGAATGAGGTTAGAACCTAACAAGAAAAACAAGTCTTGTAGCATCATGTCCAGTACATTGCGTTGGTTTGATCTGAGCTCCAGTAGTCCTGGGCAGCCCCTGCCCATAGGGCCTTTCTGTTTGCAGCCCAGGTAGCCTGTGTCTTTTCTCAGAAGTCATGCCATGTGCTGTGGTCTTGCCATCACCAACATCTTGGGGTCTTTACCCTTAGGGCATCACACATTGCTCTCGTGTGGTAGGGGGAAGAGAAGTTCCTAAGATGAAGAAGATACAACACAGCACAGTTTCCTGGTTCATGTATGTGCATGTAGGTTGCTCAGTGCCCTCCTGTGGCCAAGCAAACTGATCACATCTCTCCGGTAGCCCCTCTCTTTGCCCTCTTTTCTCATTCCAGCCATTACTGCCTAGTAATTTAAAGCGTCCAATAAAAATGCATATAGGCATATATGGGCGACAAAAATGTATAAGACCTCAACCCTATAGCACTTGAGTCTCTAGCCTTTGGATACAAAGCCTGAGGACCAATATAGCAAACTACTTCTTGAGTTCTGGCTTCTTTCCTTTCTTTTTAATAGTACTTATAGCCTCAATTGTTTTTGATTGTTTTAGACACATTTATTTAATGTGTATGCGAGCTTATGTGTAACCTTGAGAGCCTGGTGCCTTAGGGTGTCAAGAGGCCCTCAGAGGTGAGAGGATCCCCTGGCACTTGAGCTATGGATACTTGTGAACCAGCATGTGAGTGCTAGGAACTAAACCCGGGTTCTTTACAAGAGCAAGTACTTAAAAAAAAAGATTTATTTATTTATTTATTTATTTATTTATTTATTTATTATGTATATTGTCATTTTGCCTACGTGTATGTCTGAGGATGACCGATCCCCTGGAATTGGAGTTATAGAGTTATGAGCTACCATGTGGGTGCTGAGAATTGAACCTGGGTCCTTTAAAAGAACAGTCAATGCTCTTAACCACTGAGCCATTTTTTAAAACATAAAAATTTTTTTTCTTAGTTGGGTGGTGATAGCACATGCCTTTAATCCCAGCACTCAGGAGGTAGAGGTAGAGGCAGGCGTATCTCTGTGAGTTCGAGGCCAGCTTGGTCTACAAGAGCTAGTTCAGGACAGGCTCTAAAGCAAAAAAAAAAAAAAAATTTTTTTTTAGTCTTTTTTTGAGACAGGTTTCTCTGTAGCTTTGGAGCCTGTCCTGGACCTGGTTCTGTAAACCAGGCTGGCCTCAAACTCACAGAGATCCACCTATCTTTGCCTCTTGAGTGCTGAGATTAAAAGTGTGTGCCACCAATGCCTAAGAGTTATTTTTACTCTTTTATGTGGTTGAGTGTTTCACGTGCATGCACATTTGTGCACCACATGCATACTTGGTACCTGAGGAGGTGGTGTGACTCCACGTGGGTGCTGGGAATTGAGCCCAGGTTCTTCACAACAAGTGCTTTTAAACACTGAGTCAACTCTCCAGCTCCTCTACCCCCAACAAGTACTCTAAATCCCTGAGCCATCTCTTCAGCCCCAGGTCTTGACTTTGAAAGCCTGCAAATCTCTCTAGAGATGCACGTAGGGACTCTGACCCTACTACTATAGATTGCCCGGACTCCCAAGCCATCACCCTTTGAAAATCTGGTTGTGAGTCTTCATGACTTGCATTCTGCATGTTTGCAACACCAATATTATGTGCCTGGTATCTTCTGGAGCAATGCCATGACCTTCTTGATCTGTGGTTGTAGCTGCCTTTGAGCACTGGAGGAGCTGAATATCCTGAACTGAATCTTGGGTAAACATTTTCCTAGGTGGTGGCTCTGTTCAACTAGGGAGTTCCTTCCCAAAGGAAAGGGTCAGCCTTTCATACTTTTGAGCCAGTGGTGGGTGGTGTCTGGCCATTTTCTGAGATACTCTCAAGACATAATTCATATTGTTCTAGTGAAACACTTGTCGTCCATCCCCGTCCCATACACCTACTTAGACTGTGTCTCACTATGTAGCTTTGGCTGTCGTGGAACTCACTTTGTAGAGCAGACTGGCTTCAAATTCACATAACTCTGCTTGCCTCTGCTTCCCAAATGCTGGGATAGTCATGCACTACCACCACCCGGATTGCTTGACCTTTCTTTAATAGAGTAAACATAGAGTAAATGTGTTTTACAACCACTATTTATCCACAATTTTCAATTCACCCCTTTTCTGGTAAGACTTCTTCCCCCCCCCCCCCTTTGAGACAGAGTCTCCATATGTAACTCTGCCTAGACCTGGCCTGGAACTTTCTGTGTGGATTGGCCTAGTCTGGAACTCACAGAGATTCAACTGCCTCTGCCTCCTCAGTATTCAGATTAAAGTCATTTGCTACCATCCTGGTCAAGACTGTGTTTAAAAATATAAGATTTGTGATTGATGTGTGTGTTCCTGTTATGTTTGTAAGCACCACATATGTGTGGTTTTCCACACAAATCAGAAGAAGGAGTGGAATCTCTTGGAACTGAAGTTACAGGTGGCTGTGAGCAGCCCAACATGGGTGCTGGAAACTACCCAGACTCTCTGGAAGAGCAGCAAGTCCTCTTTAACTACAAAGCAGTATCTATTATTTTTCCAGAAAAATATTAAATTAATATATATAAAATATTCTGTCTGCTGTATGTATGCCTGCAGGCCAGAAGAGGGCACCAGACATCATTACAGATGGTTGTGAGCCACCATGTGGTTGCTGGGAATTGAACTCAGGACCTCTGGAAGAGCAGACGATGATCTTAACCGCTGAGCCCACTAAGCCGTATCCTCAGCCCCAAGACTATATATAGGTTTTAACAATATTTCTGCTCTGCTTTTTGTGTTTCAAGTTCTTGGCTAGCTAAAAGGAGCCAGTAATAAACATAAATCCAGAATGCTGTAGTCTTAGTTAGCATGATTATTACTATGATGAAACACCATGATTAAAAGCAAGCTGGGAAGCTGGGCGGTGGTGGCGCACACCTTTAATCCCAGCACTTGGGAGGCAGATGCAGGCAGATCTCAGGC